TTAATCAAGTTTTCCCAGTGTAGCAACTTGTATTTCAATAAAATATGGCAGTGATGATAGTTGTTGGATTTCCTGTCCAGCACTTTGAGAGTTTTTTTATATAGAGAAAGTAGTGGTTTGAGAGCAGTGTTACTATCTTGAGACCAGGTTGTGAGACAATATGTTATATGGGAGAAGATCATTGCGTGCATGTACATTAGTGCAGCCTTTGTTGACATGCAACTGCGGACTTGTCTAAAATTTGCCAAGTTGAATTTAATGCACTTGGTAACCTTTTTGATATGTTCTTTAAAAGTGAGATACTTCTGCCTGATATCCTTTATTTCCAGACATGTGCCACGGATCATGTGAATTGTTTGAATTCAAGTTGAATTGATTGAATAGTGAAAATAGAATATCAGCTTCAATAGGATTTGTTTCATTAGTTTGTTTGATTGTCACTGCTTGTCCGATCACCAAGTGTCGGAGACGCCCTGTATGTAGATCAGCCAAATCCCTCTCCCCATGTGATGTTGAAGGTAGTCCCAGTCTTCCTGTCCAATAGCCGTCATAGGCTGAGGACGTATGCCATACTTGATGATGGCTCGGAAAGAACGATTATTCTGGCCTCAGCAGCGACTCACCTCCAACTTAAAGGACCCAAAGAGATCTTGAATCTCAGACTGTGCGCCATGAAGTGATTTCCATAAGCGGCAAGACAGTTTCCCTCTGCATCTCCCCAGTGAACCAAAAGAACACCAAGTTCCCCATAGTCGATGCCTTTACTGCTCCTGTCCTCAACTAGGCTGAGCATTCCTGTCCTGCCGCTGCCCTGCAGAGGGAGTATTCCCACTTACGAGGCTTACCCTTACCGGACTTCATCCATGCCCAGCCACTTATCCTGATCGGCTCAGATCATTCACACTTGTTGGTGCCCAAGGAGCCTGTCCGCATCAGGCCATATGGGGGACCCCTCGTTGTCCACACTGCCTGGGCGGTTCAAGGCCCAGCCAATGCTTTGCCTTCCCCTCCAACCTCCAGTGCACAATCCTTGTTCACTCTCTGTAACACTGTACCCTGTCCTGCTACTGCAGAGTTGATGGAGATTGTGCAGCGACTGTGGAGAATGAACTCCTTCCCAAACCGCAAAGACCACCGCCAAGGAAGTTACACGATCTAAACAGGATCAGTATTGCCTGGAGTTGCTTGAGACAAAAACTGCTGTCCAAGAGGTGGGTGGAGTGTCTCCATTTGCTATCAGAGCACCTAACAGTCCACGATTGACCTCTTCAATCTGTACCCTCTTGCCATGGTTGTGGGGAACAGACCGCCGAGAAAGACTCGGAGCTGATTGACATCTATAACCAGGAGATCCAGAAACTTGTGGATGCTGAGTATGTGAAGGAAGTGGATCCGAAAGATGAGCCACCAAATTCTGAATCGTGGTATGTCCCCCATCACATAATCAAGCAAGCAAGTGGAAAACATCAACTGGTGTTCAACTGCTCCTTCCAAACTCAGGGCCTGAATTTGAATCGCTGCCTTCTCCCTGGTCCAGCTTTGGGTCCCTTTCTTCTTGGCGTGCTCCTCCGTTTCCGTGAGCATACTGTGGCCATTAGTGGTGATATTAAGTCTATGTTTCACTAGATCCATCTACTTCCCACTGACAAGATTCCTCTGGCGTGCTATGGTTCAGGCCACACACCCAAAAACCAATGACTGGCAGGTGTTGCCTTTCGGCACAACTTGTAGCCCTTGTTGTGCCATCTACGCCTTGCAGCACCACGCAAAAGACCATCCAGCAAGTGACGAAGAAGTCATGGAATCTGTACTGAAGGCCTTTTACGTGGACAATTGCCTGCAAAACTTCCCCTCACCTGCCAGAGCCAAAGCCCTGCTGGACAAACTGCGTCACACACTGTCTCAAGGAGGGTTCGAAATCCGGCAGTGGGCGGGCAACGGCTCCAGTGTAGTCGAACGTCTTCCTCCAGAGGCAAGATCTGTCAGCACTGAATTGTGGCTATCGCAAGCTGGCGTAGATCCCCAGGAATCCACCTTAGGCTTGAGATGGAGCTGTCTTCCTGATTGCCTGTGATACAAACACCGGGTGGTTCCCATCAAGATTCCCACATTCTGCCTCATCTACCGTGCCCTTGCCAGTCAATATGATCCCTTGGGGTACATCCTACCCTTCACCACTAGGGCCAAAGTGCTGGTTCAGGACTTGTAGAAATCCAAACGAGGCTGGGATGACCCCATCACTCAACCTGAGCAGGCTAATCAGTGGCTGAATTGGGAGCAGGAGCTGTCTGATCTCTCAAGCATCAAACTGCCTCGCTGTTATGTGTCTCCTTGTGCTGATCAAACAGATGCACAGCAAGAGTTACATGTCTTCTGTGATGCCTCTGAGCGGGCTTATGGCACAGTTGCCTACTTGCGAGTCCATGACAGCCAGAATCACATTCATGTGGCTTTCGTCATGGCCCATTCTAGGGTGTCGGCGAAGAGACAGTTTTCGATGCCCCGGCTGGAGCTGAGTGCTGCTTTGCTTGCCGCTCAATTGGCGACCACCCTCAAATCTGAACTTACCCTGCCATTGATCCGCACCATCTTGTGGAGCGACTCCATAACTGTCTTGACCTGGTCGAAGTCTGAGTCTTGCTATTATTAAGTCTTTATCAGCACCTGTATTGGAGAGATCCAAGAACTCACAGACTGGGATGACTGGAGATACGTGGACAGTCAAAACAACCCAGCTGATGCCTTGACCAGAGGCAAGACATTGCATGACTTGGCTCAACCTAACTGTTGGACAGCTGGACCACTCTTCCTTCAACAGCCAGAGACTTTCTGGCCTGTTGCTCCTGATGTCTTCCCCATCTCACCTCCAGCAGATAGTACTGAACTGAGCAAAGCTGCCAGATGCCTCCCAGTGTCAAAGCTGGAGTAACCTCATTGCCGCAACTGAGCATACCCTGTCCAAATCTGGCAAAGCCCATACCAGTGCATCAGGTGAGACCTCAGTCCTCCAACAAGCCAAGGCATCATGTTTCCCTGAAGAACTTGATGCTCTCCAGGAGGGAAGGCCTCTCCCAAGACAAAGCTGTCTCCTTTCACTCTCTCCTGAGTTGGATCCAGAGGTGGGACTGATGAGGGCAGCAATCCGTAAGCATCAGCACAGTTGCAGGGAGTGCCAGAGGTGGAAATTGTCTCCGGAAAAATGCCCAAGATGGCTGATCTTCCCCCTGCCAGACTGCGTTTCTTTAAACCACCTTTCTGGTCCACCAGTGTAGACTGCTTTGGACCCTACACCATCCACGAGCAGAGAAGCGATGGGGAATCATCTTTAAGTGCTTAACTACCCTTTGCGTGCATCTTGATTTGTTGGAAACTCTATAGATGTTGATGCCTTTCTTCTAGCTCTCCATCGTTTCATATCACATCATGCAAGCCCTTTGAGATCCTGGCAGATAGGGGGACGAACTTCCGTGCAGGAGACTGAGAGCTGAATGAGTGCTTCCAGGTCATGGAGCCCAAACCTCAGGAACTCTTGGCAGACCAGCAGATCTTGTTCACATTCAATCCGTCAGGTGCTCCACACTTCGGCGGAGTCTGGGAGCGTGAGATCAGATCAGTCAAAAATGTCCTGCGAGTGATTCTTGGGAATCAGATCACTTCTAAAGCTGTTCTGCCAACTGTCCTTATTGAAGTGGAGGGCATTCTAAATTCAAAGCCTTTTGACTACCTTTCTGCCAATGCTGCTGATCCAGATCCGGGGGCTCCCAAGTTGCTCCTGATGGGGCGGTGGGATGCCTCCTTGCCTCAAGCCATGTTCGGCAGTAGCAAGCTCCTTGGGCGACGAAAGTGGTGCCACAGCCAGATGTTAGCTGACCACTTCTGGATCCTTGACCCCCAGCTGCCTCGGGCCTCTTGGCCAACAGGGTGTGTCACAGCTGTCATGACGGGTAGAGATGGATGTGTCCGGTCCGTTGAAGTTCAAGTCGGCCGACAAACTTATATCAGTCCAGTGTCACGTTTGATGGTACTTCCTGAGCTGAAAGAAGAATGAGCCTTTTTCGGGGAGGAATTGATCCCAATTCCGGAGCGGCTGTGAAAAGACTCCTTTGATTTATATGTGTTTTCAACTATTCCTGATTCACCATCCCACAAGGGGTGAAAGTGCCAGAGTGAAACTGCAGGCTACCTTTCTAAACCACGCCCACTTTACCTGCCCAGGAAACCCTGTAGCAGGGGCGGAGACGATAAATTGTTTGTTCACCCATCTCTCACTCTTTGCTCGCCTTCACTCTGCAGCCTTGTGTGTCCGGTGTTTGATGTGTGCATCTTCACAGTTAATGTGAGTCTCAATTTATCAGTCTGGTTGCTCTTGATACTATTGCAGGTAGTTTGCTTCTTGTGCACTTCTGCCTGATATCCTTTGTTTCCAGACGTGTGCCACGGGCCATGTAAATTGTTTGATCCTGATCATTGATTTACCTGTGGTTGACTCTGGCTATTATGGCCTCTTTAGTTGTTTGTATATAGTGTACATTTGCATTGCGACAACTTTCAAGTTGAATTGATTGAATAGTGAATATGGAATACCAGCTTTAATATGATTTGTTTCATTAGTTTGTTTGATTGTTAGAGATGGATCATTCATGAATTGATCACTCATTGTATCTCTCTATTGTATGTTTATTTCTCTTTTTGATGCAGCACACAGATACCCAGATGCAAGAAATAGGGAACAAGGAGAATAAACATTGAATTCAAGTAAAAAAAAGCTGTGGTGCATCGTAACCTGCCTCCTTCTTGACCTCACTCCATACTATTGATGTCTTCTGACCGAGACTCTGTCTGCTCACCATGCACTCACTCTACCCCGAACCACATCGCCCCGTACAGTTCCCATAGTCTCAGAGTGTGCAGCTTTGAGTGGTTTTGATTTTATTTGTCTTTATTAATATGACTCAACATGACTTGCACTTGGTGAAAACTCTGGTTCTCTGTCCAATCAGGTGATGCTGGTTCATCCTAGTGACGCTATCCTAGTGCTGAACAGGCTGAACAGAGAACATCCTGACAGGATTTTGTTCAAGAGCCTCTTCCGCTCAGGCTCACTCTCTGAAACTACTGACTGTAACATCTGCCTACGTCCAACCCAGCAGCTGCTGTGTAACTACACTGACGTCCGAACAGGCCAGCCTTGGTTCTGCTACAAGCCAAAGAACCTGAGCTGTGATGCCAGAATCAGCCATGCCAGGGGACAAAATGGTCGATTCATCAAAGCCAATGAGGAGAAGCTATTTCGAAGGTAAGGGAACAGAGACAGGACTGGCATTTTTTATACCTTCTGATAACATTCATACAGTGCTAACTATGTGAACACTCCCCATCGCACACTCTGCTCTGCTTATGCAAACCTTCTCCATTGCTGCTCCCACCCTCTGGAACTCACTTCCCAAACCCATCTGAGATTCCCCTCTCTCTCCATATTCAAAAAAACACTTAAGACTCACCTGTTCAATGCTGCTTTCAATCACTGACAGTTTCTCATCCTCATCCCTTATTTGTTCTCTTGCTTGTTTTGTTGTGTTTTTTTGTCCCTGAATTTGTAAAGCGTCTTTGAGTGCCTTGGAAAGCGCTGCATAAGTATAATGTGTTATTATTATTATTATTATTATTATTATTATTATCATTATGTGTCTCCTTGATGGGAAGTTCGAGAAGTGTGTAGAAAAAATGGTTTGGGGGGCACTATCCAGGCAGGAAAAGCAATGGGTCGCTACCATGGATGTATAAAGAGACCTGGGTACAGTATTGGCAGCAGGGCCCCAGTTATTCGGCGCTACAGGTCAATTAAATCACATACCTCCAGACTCCGCAACAGTTTCTACCCCTGGGCCATAAGAACTGCCAACAAACACTGATTTGCATTTCTTGTCAGGTAGGTGAAATATTAATAACTACTTAGCTAATTTTATGGTGTCATAGAATGAAAGTATATTGATATTTAGCTGCTGTTTCATGCATTCTTGACTAAATATCTGATTCTGATCTCATTTCATAGCCTATTCCACTTGTACAAGACTAATATAGTTTCTGTCAAATTTTACTAAAATGTATAGGTTCAAAAGTGTGCTTTATTAAAATATATATCATATTAAAACAAGATAGTTCACAGTGTTTGGATAGGAAACAAGCAGGGAGCATTAGGGTTGTCAACTCAAGACAGAATGAGCCAGCTTGTAGGGATCTTCAACACCTATTAACCGTAGTTGTCAAAACATCACACTCTTTCCTGATGACTAAGTCCTTCTCTTTTAGTTTCAGCAGCTTCCATGTGTTTTTCTAAACCTTTCCTTGGTTTAGACATCCTAAAACATTCACATTCACACCAACAATGCAGTGTTGGGATCCCTGCCTAGACAACCTCACACTCATATACACCTGGTCCCATCTAACCCTAATGACACACATGATGGCTACACAGAGTTTAAAAACTGACTCCGCACCAGTCAGAACTGAAAACACCTCTTGGATGAGAGGTGAAACGTCTTCAAGAAACGCAAGCAAGTCCAGTTGCCAACGATATAGCACTTATGATCAGTGCAAATACTCTCTCCCCTTATATACCTTGAAGTATGAGTGTTAGCAGTGACATAGTAGACATCTAGTAGACATGTGGCCACATTCGCATTCCTCTGGAGCTGTGTTAATGGCAAATGTGAGTGTAATATTGATTCTCCCTTTAGTTCTAGTTTAGTCTCCACCAACTCTAGAGTGAAATATCTGACCAAGCTGCTAATTGCTCTGCTGTGTTCCCCAATTAATTGCTAACTTTGTCTGTCCGCTGTTCAGTGGTAAGTAGTGCACAGTTGGATAATTAGAGGCTCTTCGATGAAAACAGCTGCCTGCTGCATCTGCTAAATAATGTTGATGAGAACTGTTAGACTCAACCAAAAAATAAATCTGTGAGCTGCAAAACTGAAACAAAGAGCTAAAAGATGCTACTGCGTTCTGTAGAGCTCAGAAAAACTCAGGTAATTTTAGTAGTTTTATTAATGAATTTTTTTGTGGACAAATATATATAAAAAAAACATCCACAGAACTTGTGCAGAGAAAAGCCTGCAAAAGGTTTCAATACAAAGAGTCATAATTGTTCTTGTTTGCAGCTTAAGGTGCCTGTCAGCAGTTTTATAAATGTCTCTTACAGTGATGGTCTAGGGAGAAATGTTCTTGGGACTGCAGGGAATGTTATTTTTGTTTGTTTGGTTGTTTTTTGCTGCAACGCCGTGAGTGCCCACTAAGAAAACTTGGAAGCAGGGCTAAGCTGTGTTCTCGGAGGCCTGGTTTAACATCTGCCTGGTTAGCAAGAGCTAACACAATGGCAGTAGCTAACATCTGACACTGAGCCATTAAATGGTCCCAACGAACTCACACCAACACTAAAGCTGCTCAACTTTGTTGTTAAATCCATAATACATTAGCGTTGTGATGCTAATAGCCCAGTACTTGTGTGTGTGGGCAGACTCTGTCCCTGCTATGGAGCTTCCATTTCTGCAGCCGTAGTCTCCTAGAGGAGGGGGAGACAGAAGGACCACAAGCCTCATTGTAAACAGAGAGTGAAAACGGTGCAAGTCATAAGACTCACATTACTGTGGGCTTGTTCCAGAAAATAGAGATGATAGAAGAAAAGGTTTGTAGCCTAGTGATATTAAAGGTATTTTCTTTCCTTTTTGAATTTGTTGAATTAACTTTCAAGCAGTTGTCTCCCATTATAGAGATTTCAGACTTGTACCCACCTTTGTTGTATTTATGTTGCTCATGTAGTGTGTTCAAGAGATATTTTGTTGTGTGCTCTCATCCTCAGTGGTGTCAACTTAAAAGTCTACATTCGGGCTTCAGGACCTACCAGGTTCACTGTGTTGCCAAAAAAGAAAGGTAAAGCACATTTTTTACTAATGTCACCACTGTCTGTAACTCAAAACTAAATTAGCTACAGATTAAAACAGAAAAAAGCCTGTTTGTACCCAACTTACCACTGTCTTCTGGCTAGCATTCGCCTTTAGGAGATGTATTCAGCCAATATGAGAAAAGCACTGGGAGCATGGAATACTATGCTAAAATTTGATGAACATGGCATCAGCTGTTAGCAGTATATTTAGACTTTTTGGAGCAAGGTTAGCCCATAAGATGTTCATTCAATCACATTATACCAGTTTTCCCAAAATTTTGCTTACTTGTTCTTGGCTAGAAAGCTAACACTGTCTTTTCCATAACTGTGTGGATGGAGTGTTTACTCTTTGCATATACTCAGAGTGTACCATTACAATGCACAACAACACTTTTCTGCTTTTGGAAATTAGCTTAATTTTAGCTTTAACCAAGATTACTGGCAGCTAGCAGGTAGCCCAAATGTTTAGCAGTTAAAACTTGTGTATTAATGTTGTTGCCATCAATCATTTCTTCCACTTTTGAAGACCACTTGTCACCTCCACGTCACCTCTCTGGTGGACACGGAACCTGGTGTAGAAGGTGGTGTGGTATCAACCTCTCTGGTGTGGAGAAGGGTAGGACTCTCATGTTTTCCAGTTGCCCAGGTTGAGAGGCACCAGGCGGGTGTGGGGATACTCATAAGTCCCCAGCTGAGTGCTGCTGTTGGAGTTCTGAGAGGGCTGCCTCGATACGACTGCAGGTTGCTAAGAGGAGGTCTCGACTGTTGTATGTGCATACAGGCCAAACAGCAACTGAAGTACCTGGCCCTCTTGGAGTCTCTGGGGGATGGGCTGGAAAATGTGCTGACTGGGGACTCCTTAGGTCTTCTGGGGGACTTCAACACTCGTGAGAAACAATGAAGAAACCTGGAAGGGGTGGATTGGGAGGAACCGCCTGCCTGACCTGAACTTGAGTGGTGTTTGTTTTGGACTTCTGTGCTAGTCATAGATTGGCTATAACAAATACCAAGTTTGGACATAGGGAGGCTCTTAAGTGTACCTGGTGCCAGAACACCCTGGGCCAAAGATTGATGATTGACTTTGTGGTTGTATCATCACATCTGCAGCCATAGGTCTTGACATTGTCGGTGCCTGTCATGGTGGCAACCTCAGAATCTGCTAGTGAACACCGGCAGTGAAGGAGATCGTCAGGCTAAAAAAGGAGACCTTTTTGGTTTGGTTGGCCAAGGAGTCTTCTGCAGCAGCAGACAGGTACTGGTTGGCCAGAAGGGCTAGAGCTGTGGTGGCCACCAAAGCAAAAACCCAAGTGTGAGAGGAGTTCAGGGAGGCTATAGAGAAGGACTTTCAGTTGAGCCTCAAGGAAGTTCTGGCAAACCATGAGACACCTCAGGAGCGGAAAGCAGGGCTTGGCTTAGACTGTGTTCAGCAGAGAAGGAGACTGCTGACACAGACTGGAGATATTGTTGAGTGTTGGAAAGAGAACTTTGAGAAACTCTGTCATGTCCTCCATGGAGGAAGCCAGAGCCTGAAGACTTGGGGGAACTCTATCCCTGATGGAGGTTGCTGAGGTAATCAAAAAGTTATCCAGCTGCAAGGCACTGGGTGTGGATGAGCTATGCCCTAAAATGCTGGAGGCTATGGATATTGTTGGGCTGTTTTGACTAACATGCCTTTTCGATGTCACATGGAGGTCAGGTACAGTGCCCTGTTCAGTGCCATTCAGGAGGAGCAATGTGGCTTCTATCCTGACCGTGGAACAGTGGACCAGCTCTAGCTTTAGATGGAGTTTGCCCATCCTGTCTACATGTGTTTTGCGGACTTGGAGAAAGCTCATGGCCGCATCCCTTGAGGAGTGTTAGGGGGGATACTGCAGGATTGTTGATATGAGCAATCTGGTCCTTGTATGACCAGAGGGAGAGCTGTGCCCGCATACTTAGCATAATGTAAAACACTTTCTCAGTGGATTTCATTTTCCGCCAGGGTTGTCCCTTGTCACAGACTCTGTTTGTGATATTCAGGGACAGGATCTCAAGGCACAGCCAGGGGAGGAAGGGGTCCTGTGTGGGGACATTAGAATTACATCTCTGCTTTTTGCATATGATGTGATCCTGTCGACTTTGTCACACTGTGACCTCCCGCATGCACTGGGGTGGTTTGCAGCCAAGTGTGAAGCACTTGGGATGAGAGTCAGCACCTCCAAATCTGACGCCATTGGTCTCATTGGGGAAACGGTGGATTGCCTCCTCTAGCATGGGAGAGTTACTGCCCCAAATGAAGGACTTCAAGTATACTGGGGTCTTGTTCATAAGTCAGGGTAAAATGGAGTTTGAGATGTATAGGTGGTTTGGTGTGGCCTCTGTAGTGATGCAGGCACTGCTCCAGAGCATCAAGGTAAAGAGGGAGATTACGTTTACAAAAATTTATCAAAAGCTTGTTGATCTCTTACTACGTTTTAAGGATATTGGCGGGGCGTAGCTCAGTACAAAAATGGACTTAACTCCATAACCCTTATGCCAGTCATCATGAAACCTGCAGAAAGTGGCTAAAGTCATACAAATGGTGAAGTTTAAATCAATTTGGATGTACAGATTAGAACCTGCTCTGACACACAGACCGGATGCTTTCTACCTCAGAATTCTTCCTTGAAATGAAAGATGCAGAATCAGAGGCACAGAAGACTTAAACCTTATTTCAAGTTAAGGTTGGTTTCATGGGCGTAGTGGACGCAGGGTACGCGTGGGACATATCCCCCGCACTTCCCATATCTGTGCCCTCTGTCCCCCACACTTTTTACAGCTGTTGCAACCGCTCAATTCGTTTTTAACATGTAGTAACGTGTTTTTTCTTTAAACGCACCATGAGTAGGCGGGGCCAGGCGGCATACATGCTGTGGTATTGTGATCTGAATAAATCACACAGACGAGATGTGTTTCTGCTGGGCAGTGCTTCTGTGTGTTAACTATGTTCAGCAAACCAGCCAGCAAGAAGCAAAAAACCTTGCACAGTTTCTTCCAAACAAACCATGTAAGTTGAGTAATGCTGTTGCATGTAGATAATGTTTGCTAAATGATGACTAATTAATAGATGCCAATATATCAAGTTAAGCTAGTTAACAAGAATTCTAATGTTATTGTTACCTACGTTAAATCGCTTGCTAGCTAGTTTCATGCTAGGAATAAACCCACTCCTCCTTAATTTCTGCGCAGAACTTGTGCTCACTATTGCTTTGCACATATTTTTTTAATCTTTATTGCCACAATAGAAAGAGTGGGGTCAGGGAGGAGACAGTGGACCACAGGCCAGCAAGGATGATCATGCGAGGTCTTCACAGGTGAGAAGAGAATATAACTGGCTGAGAGAAAATATCTATAGCATAAAAGTGACTTTGAGGTTAATTTCCCCAGCTATGTCACCACTACTATTCTTAATTCTATTTCAGAATTTTGCTTTGCACATATTTTTTTATTGCCACAATAGAAAGAGTGGGGTCAGGGAGGAGACAGTGGACCAGAGGCCAGCAAGGATGATCATGCAGGGTCTTCACAAGTGAGGAGAGATTATAACTGGCTGAGAGAAAATATCTATAGCATAAAAGTGACTTTGAGGTTAATTTCCACAGCAATTTCACTACTACTATTCCTAATTCTATTTCAAAATTTTGCTTTGCACATATTTTTTTTAATCTTTATTGCCACAATAGAAAGAGCAGGGTCAGGGAGGAGAAAGTGGACCAGAGGCCAGCAAGGATGATCATGCAGGGTCTTTACAGGTGAGAAGAGAATATAACTGGCTGAGAGAAAATATCTATAGCATAAAAGTGACTTTGCGATTAATTTCCACAGCTATGTCACCGCTACTATTAATTCTATTCATAAATTTTGCTTTGCACATTTATTATCTATATTATTGCAATAGATAGAAGAGGGACAGGGAGAAACCAGGCAGGTATTTGGTATTTAATTATCTGGCTACTTACCCTGTAGATGCTCGAGGGTCATTCTGTGTCAACTCATCTAAAACTTTAGATTTTGATAGTATATAATTTAAAAAAAAAACTAAAGTGGGTCCCCTGGTGCTGTACTGTGGCTGTTTGTGGTTATGTGGTTCTTTAGCCACTAAGGAGAGGTGCAATTGAATGCGAGAGGATGATACATCACTCAATAGACCTCTGAACAATTTGTCCCCCTCACTTCTGAAATGATGGCTACACCCCTGGTTGGTTTTTAAAGATAAGTGGAAGTGTGAAAGTAAATCGGCGTCTGTCTCCAGCAAAAAATCCATCGTGGCCATCTGTTACGGTCCAAGAGACTTTTTTTGTAGACCACATTGAGCCTGAAATGTGTTCCAAAATTGAAGTCAGTTACAGTGTGAGGGGGATGGCCTTTCCAAAAATGTGCATTTATGTACACTCTGATTAAAGCCAGTTGAGTCTCATCATAAGACAAACGCAGTATTGAGACTGTCATTACTGACGTCAACATGGATACCAATACCACCCACAATAATAACAGCAGGGACTTCTTCTAATTTTACTGTATAACAACATTAAACTATGTTAAAACTGACCAAACAGCTGACTGAAAAAAAAACCCGGTAGAATAACAAAGATCTGAATAAATATCTCTTTAATAAATATTTTAAAAAGTGAAGATTACAATAACAACCAGAAACTACCAGTTCTACCCCTTATGGGCTTTTTTACTTTATTTTTAATTTTCCCATTGACATTCAAAATCTTTTTTGTCCTGGCCAAGGGACCAGCAGCATAGAATTTTACATGAAAGAACATATAAACTAAAGGCACGGCAGCAAAAAGTTAAAAGTAAACGGCAAAAGAAATTCCACAACAGACTTTAAACAAACAGCCAAATTACATTAAACAATTGAATTAGCATCGTTCAATAACCAGACATTTGCATCTGGGGGCAAATAGTCCTCTGTCCTGTTTTTAGAATCTTACATGCTCATAATGCAATCTTATGTAAGGTAACTTTGACGCTGACACCAAAATAAGGGAGCAAAAACTTGGGTTTGAGGAATGACGTACATAAGTTGTCCACATGACTGAAGGTTGCTACTGATAGTTTTTGGAGTCAGTAAAGAACATAAATTAGAAGGCAGTTCATGTAATATGGCTTAATTTGAAATATTAAAATAATAAACAGCTCATAAAAATGCTACTTAAACCATTTGTTTTTTCTTGCACCAAAAGAGAAATAGAATTAATTTCTATAATAGAAACCCAACTTAATCCTGAAGGGTTTTGACACTGTATGATATTTAAAAGACAGATCGTCTTGACCCCTAAGAATAACCCCACCTATTACTTCCTCTCAGGTCAACCGGAGGTGAAGAGTAGCAGTGTGACATCTGGACCCTCTGGCTATTACTACCAGGGTGCGTGGCGAGCGCTAGATGGAACCACAGTTCACCAGTTCAACACCTCCTCCGCCATCACAAAGTGTCTGAAAGGCAAGATGATCCACCTGTATGGAGACTCCACTGTCAGACAATGGTTTGAATTCCTCAACAAAAACCTACCAGGTACCTGATCGGCAGGGATTTCTGGCAACAGTTTGATTTTGTTCACACTGCAGCTTAATCTGTTCCCTCTGTATACTTTCAGATCTTAAGGAGTTTCACCCACAGGGCCGGACGAAATTTGGACCTTTCATGGCCATAGACAATGCAAACAGCATCATGGTGACATTCAACTTCCATGGCCCTCCTTTAGTCAGTTTTATCAGGGTCCCACCTACCACATTTTATTACATTGCCAATGAAATAGACCGCTTAACCGGAGGCACCGACACCATTGTAGGAGTTGGCATCTGGGCTCACTTCCCCTCTTTCCCCATAGAGCTCTACATCCGGCGGTTGCAGAGCATCCGCAGGGCAGTGGTGCGGCTGCTGACCAGGGCTCCCGGGACAGTGGTTATCATCCGGACAGGAAACCCCAGAGCTTTGACATTTGATCTGTCGCTAATCTTCAGTGACTGGTACTCACTTCAGCATTACAAGGTGCTCAGAGCCATGTTTAAAGGAATGAATGTTCATCTGATCGATGCCTGGTCTATGGTCCTGGCCCACCACCTGCCACACAACATCCACCCACTACCTCCCATTATTAAAAACATGATTAATATTCTGTTGTCCCATGTGTGTCCTCAAAACAGCACCTAGGTGTGTGTTGATAGGGGGAGGGAGTCTAGATTCAAGCATGCGAAGTTTACATGTTGTCTACATGTTGAGAAATTAAGAGAACAGGGGTGGTGAGTGTGAACCACACAATGATATGGTGATGTGCAGGTGAAACACTGTGCAGCTGATGCATAGGCCAAACAGCTGATAAAGTGTTTTCACACTTGGTCCTTTTCAGCCACCCAAATGTGCGCAAATGTGAACACTCCAAGAGAACTCGGTGGTCTGAGTTCAGTTTGCTTCAAGTCTGTGGTGTGGTTCACTTAACCTGTGCATTTTGACCAAAAAAAGCCCTGGGTCCGCTTTGCCTTTTGCTATTGTATTGTAGCCCTCCAAACGTGCTGTAGACAGATCACACGCTATTTCAGTGAGATGCATAATCAGTGGACGAGGAGTACTTTGGTCTGATGATGAAACAACTGCACTCCCCCAGATATGGAACGAGGACAACATCAAACAGCAGCTGTCCACAGCGCACAGAAACACTAAGGTTTTCCTCCCACATTAAATTCATAACCACACTACAGTGCCACATCAAAGTGTGTGTGTGTGTGTGTGTGTGTGTGTAGGCGTGTGTGTGTAGGCTATAGAGTGAACAGAAAGAGGACTGAGGCCCCATCAAAGCTGAAGTGGACCAGAAAGAGAACTGAGTCCCCTTTCTGTTGGTCCACTTTTTGGTCCACTTTAAGAGAACTGAGTTCGGTTCACCTAAAAAGGACCAAGTGAAAAAATACCCTAAAACTCCAAAGTTCTGGCTTGGCTTGTTGTGTCTGTATGAACTACACAATCAAGTCATTTGCATCTGATCCTGCTCCATCAAGTGTTTTCTACAGAGTATTTTTGTGACTCAAGTGATTTTGACAAAAGGGTTTTTGACCAAGAACTAACTTGAACTCCAGACCACTTTTCTGGCCAAGGTTGGGAACAAATTTGTTAGTGTAATGTACCTGTTTAGTCTTATGCTTTAGTATCAGTTGACCTTTAAAAATACATGTCCAGACAGTATACTCTGCTTGATCATAACCAGTCACACCTTGGTTTATTGTTTCATGTATCCACATAATGTGCTCTCACACACACACACACACACACACACACACACACACTCATTGGTATATTGTATTGAATACAGGATCTGATGTTCAAGGAAGATGTGCACACACACACACACACACACACACACACTCATTGGTGTATTGTATTGGATGCAGGATCTGACAGGATCTGATGTTCAAGGACTGAAGTGGGAAGTACCTAGGATCTGATAGGATGTGATGTGCATGTATGACACCATTATGTTTGGGCTTATGTGTAAATGTCCCATAAATGCCTTGTGAAAGAGTGTTACAAGTGTTAAAAACTCTTAACAACACTTACCTGCCGGATGAGTTAATCTGTGAGCATTCTCGGAACCCATCGGCTGTATTTGTCGTCTGACTTCCGGCAGACGGCGATACAGCTCTGGGGGCAGGCCCCCTGATTTTTTGGCATTCCAGTTTGGAGGAGGCGAATTTCCGTTTCCGACTTCCGTTTCCTCCCCCCGATCATATAAGTAGATATGCTGAACCATTGCGGTGGATTCAGAGTTTGCAGTGACGCCAATTATGTTCCACCTCGTTAGTTCACCGCACGGACCGTTTAACCTGGCAACAACTGCAGCCAGCTCAAACATGATTGGTCAATATCACACGGATTACAAACAGTCTACAACCGGAAACCAGGGCTCTTCCGCTCTTCTTCCAGAGGCAAGATCTCTGGGGTTTGCGTACAGACTCTACATTCACTGAATGTAGAGTCTGTAGGCAAACCCCGAAGATCTTGCCTCTGGAAGAAGAGGCACTATCCCTTTAGAATACTCAACAAGTATTTTAAAGGGATAGTGCACCCAAAAATGAAAATTCAGCCATTATCTACTCACCCTCATGCTGAGGGAGACTCTGGTGAAGTTTAAGAGTCCTCACATCCCTTGCGGAGATTGGCGGGGGGAGCGGCTAGCACACCTAATGGCAGACGGCGCCCCAGACTAACGTTGAAGAACACAAAATTGAAACCACAAAATATCTCCAACATGCTCCCTAGTGATCCAAGTGCCCTGAAGCCCCGACATATAAAGTTGTTTTGAAAAACTTCATTTGAACTCTGTTTTTAGCCTCACTGTAGCCTTCTCTGTGCTCCACACTCATGTGTGCGCACTTGCGCGAGACCAGCGAAGGCATATTTACATCACGTATCTGGCTGACTCGCAGGAACCGGACTCAGGGTGCTGGCAGTGTGGAGCCGGTGCCGGTCTTAGAAGGACTCTTGAAATCCCGGCTCAGAGTGGAACATTTTACTGTCAATCTGTGGACAATTTACAGGACTTTAAAGAAAGATGGACTGTTGGGGTTGTCCTGTGCTCTGTGACAGGGAATGGAGAGCTGGTGTATAATTTCTGAGTAGTTGTTTAACGTTTACTGTGTCTGCGGACTGTTTATTCAGGAGCAGCTTTTGTCTGTTTTTGTTTGTTTGTTTGTTTGTTTTGTTTTTCATTTTTCTTGATGGTTTGAACTTAATGGTTTTCAGTCATTGCTGAAATGATTTAATAAAGGGACTTGAAAACCTCTCCTCTCCTGGCTCCCTTTTCCACTCCTTTCCTCTCCTCTCCTCAATTTGTTCTCCTTCTCTCCTCTTTCTCTTGTCCCAGTGAACAGGCCTGTGATCAATTATTTCATATTGAGTTTTTGGCTTAAAAAGACATGTGGAAGCGGGAAGGTAATTCAGCATCTGTCTCCACTCACACCAGGCAGCAGGTGAACCTGAATCAGCCAGAGAGTTGGAGGGAGATGGTGTAATTTTACACCAGACTAGCTTACTTGTTGTGAAATGTAATGTTGGGTTATTGCCTAAGTTAGTCTGGCTGTATTGAGATGTTTTAAAAGTGGTTTAATTTCACAACAGTGACAAACAGTGCTGAGGCTCATTGCAAACACTATCATTACCTGGCTGCCTATGAAGGCAGGTAAGGGAAACATGACGCTGCTCTGCAGGGTGCTAAATTTACCTACAATTACTGTGGTGTCTGTTAAAGGGGAAGTTACAGAGAAAGGGGCAGAGGTTCGACTCAGATGCAGCAATCGGGCATACAACACACTTTTAATTGAGAATTGATGCCATGGATCAAATTTAAAAACTAAAATAAAGGATTAAAGAGAAAAGGAAAAAAGAAATAGAAAAAGTTGTCTTGCAAAAAGGGCACTTATCTAGACAGTGGGCAAAGGGGCAGGTGCTTGAGCACCACGTGCCTGTTTCCTACCATGACAAATCCAAATATCAGTTGTGAAAAAAGCCTGTACACTTGACCAGTAATATTGAACACAAGTCAGTATGTAACCATGTTATTCTGTTCAGCTGTACTCTACTGCAAATGGATACTTTAGGTCCTGTAGTTTGATATGATACCTATGTCTTCACTGTAGCTTCAAATCTGCGCAGCAGGTTTTATTTTCTAAAAATGAGTCTGCTTCATTTCTCACCCTCAGCTCTGCCTGTCATACCTGCTGCTTCTTCACGTTTTTGCCGGACAATTGTCATCACCTCTCTGCTCCTTTCATTTTCTTGTTCTCTCTGTACTCTTGAGTTTTTTTAGGAGCCCCTAATTTTTGGTGAGGCATTCTGACTTAGCCAATCAGGCTGCAGTCTGCCTTATATGTTCACATTATTGGAGCTTGTGTGTTCTGCACATCTGAACCCCTATGTCACATGGACTAAACCATTTATCTGATGGTTGACATTCACATTGGTACGTAATGACACCACTATGTTTATTTATCATGTAAATACATATAACTTGTATTGTCAGTGAATAAAGACTGCAAGTAAATTGTTGTTCTTGATCCTATTTAAGGGTCAACTATAGACCATTTCTCACTGTATGTTCAATATGTTTTTTTGTGTTATAACAAAGACCATTGCAGGAGATTTTTATTCTCTGTGTTTTACATAAGGTGTTGCAGCAACAGATTCAGCCTCACACACCTCAACAGGCACAACCAGTTTTACCATCATTATCTACCTGCTGCGTCTTTTTATGTACCACCCATTTACCAGTGAGAGCAAAGTCTTCACTGCTGCGCCTCTAAGACACCGTACAGCTGAAATTGGACTCCACACCCGAGCAGGTAGGCCACTGAACATTATATATTTAGTGAGGCTATTCACACAACACCTTAACACTGAGACATGTTCTTGAGAGCTTTGAAAAAGATGACATTATGTGTGTGATAAACAACTGACTTGCATGCTCTTCTCTTTTTTATTCCAAAATCTGTCTGAACGCTGCTTAACTAAATAATGACACAACAGAACTGAGAAGTGCATTTCAGGATTCATTTTTAGTAGGGGTATACAGTTCATAAAATTCACACTTCAACACAGTCATGTCATGTTAAGGGTTTTGATACAGCAAAAAAGTAGAAATGCTAGAAGAATTTTCTTGATTTTCACATTTAAAGATGTCATTTTAATTTATTTATTTGTAAAAACAAATGTTTTAAAGCATAATCTGTTTTTGACTTTGAACAATAATGGGGCTATATACCTGAGTGACCCATCTTCTGGGTGTCCTCTTAGCAGCATATGAAACAAAAACAGCTCCTTATGAAATATAAAATGTAGTATTGTAGTGACAGACATTAAAAACAAAAGAATCAATTCTGTTTCATTCATTTATTTTCCCTAACCGCTTATCCTGTTAGGGGTCACAGGGGGGCTGGAGCCTATTTCAAAAGCCTACAAAAGAACCAATTATGTTTCATTAGTTCATTCATTCATTCATTCATTCATTTTCCCTAACCGCTTATCCTGGTCAAGGGGAGGCTGGAGCCTATCCCAGCTGACACTGGGTGAGAGGCGGGGTACATCCTGGACAGGTCGCCAGACTATCAAAGGGCTGTTTCTGAAATTTCCGTGTTCTTTAAATCTATTAAAGCTAACATCATAAATTGAGCTTTGTTGGGTTTTTTTTATACAAAGCAGGAATCAGTCGGGCTAAAATGGGCTCAGGAATGAATATTGTAAATGGTGCCCCATTCCATGACAGAGTAGGCCCTCTTTTATCTGCGGCTATGAATGTACCAATCGGCATGCTCATTTTTTTTTTTTTTTTTGCCCTGTCTGAATCGGTTGTAAATGGCTGCCTGAATGCTGCGGGGATAACGTTAGATTAAAGCATGTGTTGCTCCTTGTTTTTCTTTAATTCCACGAACTGAAACACTGTGGTGAAGTCGCGGTAAATGAGTTGGCATGTTTAAAGTTTTCCCACTGATATAACCTACTATCATGTAGCAAATCCGACACACTTTTGTTTTATTTTTTATCCACTGCTCCCTTCAACCTGATCTCACAGAAATACGTGAAATGACCACGACCTCTTAACACCGCATTCCGTGGTGGCAGCACGTAATGGGTTGAAATTACGTGCTACCACCACGAAAACAATGCCAATGTAAAGTCAATTAGGATCCTCTCCCGTGGTGGACGCGCGGATTCCCTGATTCAATCACGTCACGTCAACCTCGTTTTCCTCAATGATATCTTTAA